CTATTTTCCTAAATTGGCTGAAATTGGGTTAATAGAGTTGGTTCACAGACGGAACGATGCTATTAAGATTTGGATAAATGTAACGGTTTAGATCAAAGTTTTCCTGAAGTATTCCCTATAATGATTATTAAATTTCCTAAACGCCAAAAAAAACATTCATCGAATTCCGTCTAGTATTAACAAAGATGGTTTTTGTTTGCCAAAACAAAGGATATCAGCTTTGCATTAAAACATTTGATAAATATCTAGAACACAATATCTTTACACCAGGCCGTTCGATTTCAAATTTTTTTATTTGTTTTAGAAAATTTCGTAAATTTTTAATGACCACATAAAATATCAACAAAAAAGTGAATACTTTTGAGTTATTCGGAAATCTAATGTTTTTTTGGTGAAGTATAATATACATTAATTTATAGTGCCTCCAGGAAAAGACTTTGCCGAAGTTTACATTAAAATCGGTTTTTATAAGATGTAGAGATGGTTGACAGTGATATAATATGAGAAGGAGCTGATCCGGGAGGTGCGGTCAAATAGTGTTTCAACTGCCTCCCGCAGTGCTACATCCTACGCCCTGATGAAGACCTGTAAAGTGGGTCGAAATGTCGGCATAAAAATTAAATAATACTATTTCTATAAGTTGGTATTTAGTTGACCGCACCCCCCGATCAACTCCACATAAAATCGGTTTTGGTGCTAAAGACTATAGCGTCATAGTTTTTCGTCCACCATCTTGAAAGGAAAGTGCGAATTGTAATGTCAGGTTCCGAGGATCATCCTCGGGTGCCCTTCGACATTGATACAAGTCTCAACACAATCGTCCCAATCGTCTCGAGAAAAAGTATCGGCGTACGGCCGGAAATATTTTTTCCGACTCTACATGTCTTAGGACATTTTGAGGGATTTTTTTTTCTTTTCGATTATAAAGGTTGATTATTGAAAATAATAAACCAAAAATTAATTGAAATCGGACCATTTGTTGCAGAGATATGGCGTTTTCAATTTTTTGATGAAATGATTTTTTTTTATATCTCAAATCTATAAATCTATCCTTAGAGTCCTGACTCTGGTTTGATTTTTTTTCTAATTATTTGCATACCTTATTTTTAAAAAAATATATAAAATAAATATTTCTTAAATGACCTAATCAAACCGGACAAATGTTTTCTTCTGAAGTAGGTAAAGTCGTACGTGGGGATAAGCTATACATATTGAACTTATAAATTTTGGAAAATAATAAGTCATTGACTAATAATTTTCAAAGCTTTTATTTCTGTATCTAACATCAATGAGACAATTTAATCTCGTTGTATCTTTTTGTTATTAAAACTAAGAGGAAAATAGAAAAAACCTCAGTGACGAAGATCTGCTGCTATCTCCTTTTTTTTATTCCTGTAACAGCTAAACCTGAAACCATAATTGCTACCATAAATGGTAATTGAGGCCTGGTGATGTTTTAAACAGACTGAAAAAGAACGGACTGTCTAGAGCCGGTTAATGGCGATGACATCGATATCGTTGAGAGATATTTTCAGGTGTTCACAAGAACGCAGAATGCATTTATGGCATAAGAGGTCTCCACAAGGATACTGGTTTTGAAAATTAATGAATGAAAGTTCAAATTCAAGTTATCACTTTTTATCTGAATCAACATAGCATGGATCAACGAGATGGAACAAAATCAAGATATCAACCTATGGCATATATTTAAAAGGAGATTTAAATAAAGTAATTGGAAATTTAAAGTAGGAATATTATTTAAAGCACTTAAATGGGGACCATAAGTTTAATAAGATGGTTTAACGATGAGGGAGTCTAATTAAGGCCAACTAGATCATTGTGTACTTTCAAAAGGAAAAACATCTTCGGTTCCTTTGAACTCTTTCTTTGCAGTCACAGCTGCATGCTACTGGCAATGTGCCAAGTAGTGTGTCTATCTTACCTTGGGCTAACAAAAATTTATTTGTCTTTATTTTACTTTTCCGCTCTAACGATAAGTTTTTCCTCATCATAACGTAACTAAAAAAAATTTGTTTTGGCGAGCACGTCGCAGATATTGCCAGGTTAACCGAACAGGGTATTTCTAAAAATATGATTCGTGAAATTGAATTTATAAATTAAGAAGATTCCTAATTAAGACCGAAATAGGCGATAGAAATATCGTGTTGAGCGCTTGATTCTAAAAATTACTATTTTCGAGATAACGCAAGGCGTAGGGTTTGCATCCACACAAACTTACATTAATTGTAGTACTCTCCTTGAATACATGTCTCATTTCGTCGACTTGAGGTCTCTATGATCGAAAGAGGAGAAGTTTATATTATTTATCGATGGTGTTTTTGATCATGAGCCAAGCCTATCATCGTTAATTTTTCACCAAATCTCAAGATTGAGCCACCAATTTTGAAGGCTTCTTTCTGCTTCAGGCGGGCAAAATAGTCCAATCACCCCGAAAATTCAGGCAAACAAGTTATGAAAGAAAACAGACTTTATTTGCAAATTACTAAAAAATTACACACTTTTCCCTTGGTTTTTAGCAAAGATACAGCTTACTGAAATTTGTAAACATGTTGGTTCAAAACAAAAATCAAGATTTAAATTAATTTTTGTTTCCATTGTCGATTACATTTATCAATAAAGTAACATTTGATTTCTTTATCTTTTGATATGTTGCATTATTTTATTTTTTTATTAATTTGGCATTTGATAACAATATGCTGTGCGAATTTTTCGCACGGGCCTACTAGTAATATAATAATGCAGTAAAAAAATTAAAAATATTCTATACCGTTTAGGGTTCGTTCATGGAAAAAAAAAACACTTTTCTTAAACAAAAAATATTTATATTTTTCACTTTTTAAATGCATTCAAGATGCATGAACATTTTTTTCAGCACTTAAAAATACTCTTATGCATCCTGACATCTTGCTAATTCTTCATGGTTGGTTGCTTATTTTAATGTATTAGACTTAAAGCATCTAAATCATCAGCGCCGGATCAACAACATTATGCTATTAATAAAATATTTTGATAGAAGGTTTAAAAAAAATAAATAAACTTTAAAAAAAATTAAATTAAATTTTTCCTCCTCATGTCTGTCATGTCATCAATACCATCTATATTCCCATCAAATCAGCTGATTGTCACTCTCATGACAGGTGCAGATGAAAGTATGAAGGAAAAAAAAAATTTTTTTAAAGTAATAATAATAAAGACAAAATATATAAATATTTATATAGACATATAAATAACTAGAAAAAAGAAATAAATAAAATGCCAAAAAATTAACAAAAATAATTAAATAATATAATCGGTAATATAATAATGGGTCATTGTTTTAAGAGGTACATAAAAAAAGAAAAGACTGCAGAACCCAGGTATACCTGAATATCAAGAGTGCAAAGCTAGTGAAATAACATATTCAGCTGCCCTATAATGCCACTTAAGCCTTTGCATTCCACAACTTACAAACCTTGACTTCAGTGGGAGGGTGTAGACCAATGACAATTTATACATTTAACCACCTTAATGCTACTCTGTCCTGTGCATGTCATATTTCCTTCCATATAGATGATAAGAATAGTAAAACTAGTCCATACTCATTTGAATATGGAACTCAACTGTCCATATCCATTAATGGATCAACATTCAGCATTGGTTAGTTGCTGTATTGTTAGAACTAGTAAGCATTACTAGAACTAGACTAAGCATCAGGGCATATTTAAAACTATGTCTACTAGACCAGAGATTAAAGAAACCTGTAATCCTTTTCCCTCTCCACTATCACACTACATCCATTGTACCTTAATTTCGCATTGGCATCTTTCTATGAAAATGTACCAAATTTCAGCTCGATTGAAGGCAGTGATTGAAAGCTTTTACAAAGTTGAATCTTGACACAAAACCCCCAACATTCAAACTAGGTAAAGTCTTTTAAAAAATGCTATAATATTGTTTCACTAAATAATCATCCTGTTCTACAAAGAAAATGACCCCTCCCCCCACCTTCTGTACATATTGCCTTATATATCTCTAAGGAATCTTTAGTAAACTATTATGACACATTTTGTTAAAATCAGCTAAAATGTTTTAGATGACCCAGTCATTTGTAGATAATGAGTAATATATCTGCAAGGAATCTTCATCAGGATTATAAAAAATAGAGTACCACAATTTTTCAAATAAGCTGAGGCATTTACATAAGTGATTTATTAACAGAACATCTCAATGATACCATAATATTTAATCAACATCGGGGTTTATATTTGCAAAAATATTAGCTTGATTATAATAAGTCAGTTAAAATTTTACAATATGATTTTGGATTACAAGGAAGGCATAAGGGAGAAATTTGATGATTTCAGGGAATGCCAAAGCTCAACTCCATATATATCCAAATTGAATAGAATATATTTATCCATTTCATCTATTATTATAATCCTAGAAAAATATCATTCAATAACTTGAATAGAATATATTTATCCATTTCATCTATTATTATAATCCTAGAAAAATATCATTCAATAACTAATCATCAAAGGCTCCAATTAAAAAGCCTTTACAAAAACTAAAAACAGAAAAAATCATTTTTGTAAATATATATTTTTTAATTTCTGTTAAAAGCTATGTATATTTCATGTAAGTACTTACTCGACTAACCATTACCTGTAGGGGTCAATTTAATTTAAATTATAAATAATGCCCACTAATTTGTGATAAAGTAGCATTAATATCAATTGCTAAATAAACCACATGTTTTTTCTAAATCATACCTAATTTTTTCAGCACATTTACTAGTTGTATTAAAAGAAATATAGTTGTATAAATATTTAAAAATAAGAAATAAAATCAAATTCCTATAAGAGATGGTGTTGATAAAATTTGATATTTGTGAAAACAATTTTTTATTTACCAATATAAAAAGTATTAACCTAGATATTAATTGTATAAAATAATATTAAACACAAATTTATTTATTTTATAATTTTACATATTATATTTTATAATTCATCTGATCCGCTCAGGCTATTATCTTTGTCAGTAGTTTTGAAAATGTCATCCCAAAATCTAAGAACTTCATCAGTATTAGTGAGTTCTTTCTCTATTATATTTTCTGTTGATATGTACAAATATTTACCACTGTTGTCGAATTCTGGCCATACTGGTTGTTCTCCTTCAGCAGTTGGTTTTCTGAAATAAAGAAAGGTTACTTTTGTAAGAAAAAGGCATAAATAAGTTTTTGAGTGTTTAGGAATGTCTTTGTGTGCAAATGTACACTTGCTAATCTGATGAAAGAATGAAAATTAATAATTTGTGTTGAAAATTAATTTTTTATGTTATTTTACCAACTTCTCAACTAAGTTTTTATCAATCTAATTTTTTAAATATATTTACTTTTCATTTAAAGAATCAAATCATATTTTTAAAAACACCTGTGAATACTGTGAAATTTAATCAGAATTTTTAAGGCAATCAAATATTAATTTTGAAAATAAATTGAAATGTTAATTTTGAGATTTATATTTATAAAATATGAGAGAATAGAATCTCTCTTATATATATATATATGTGTAGGTATATATATTTTCGATACATTTCACAACAAACCAAGTGGGTCATTAGTAGCTAAAAGTAAACTAATCTCTCTTCTTCTCTTTGATTTCCTCTTTGTGTTGTTCAGTATTGAGTTAGATCTTCCTATTTCTCTGTCTTCCAAGAATCAATATGACCTGCAATGTCTTAGCAACCTGAAAATGTAGCTTGACTCCATAAATTTCCATGGTCTTTATCAGAGCTAATTATGCGTACATGGTCATACAATCTCAAATGTCTCCTTTTCACGGTCTCTTTCATTGCTACCATATTTAATTCTTCCCTAGTAGTTTCATTCCTTATTCTAACTCTGCACAATTTCTCAAAATACTTCATTTCTGGAGTAGTTATTTGGCTCCATTTTTGCCAAGAAGAGCACAACTGCTCTATATTAAAGAACAGATATATAGTGTGTTCCAGGAATGGAATGGTAAACAGAAATTATAATAATGGAAATATTTAATAAAATGATAATGGACCTCAACATCTATAAAAATATTACATAGACCAAGGTCCTATTCTGCCGAGAAAATTAGGAAATTCAAGTTTAATATTTTCTTAAGTAAAGCACGTTTTATGATAATTAGGAATCAATAACTAAAAAACATTAATTCAAATAATTACCAATTGTACCATAGCATACTAGACAAAATTTTCTTTGAATGCAAGTACTATTTTTCTTGATTAGAACCATTGTATGAGAGTTTTCAAGCAATTGAATAATAGTCAGTTTTGTTTTTCATAAAACCCTGTATTTTTCAAGATTTTCTTTATCAACCATATAATGTCCTATAGATTCCTCTCCTTCAGAAAATCTTTAAATTAATTAGGTTGAAGTTTGTCATAGAAAAAGCTTAAATTCGTAGCTAATCTTGTAAAAAAAAAAAAAAAATGTATATAATACGAAATTTTTTCACCTAAATATGCCAGTGTTTGCAGCAATAACAATTACAATTCATTGTTACATATTTTTTTTTCAGTGACTCAAGATGCTGACCAGCAATTGGTAGCATTATTTTCATGAAAACATAAATTTCTTGTTTTATTTTCATTTCATTTTCACAGTTTTTAAGTAGGAGAACTCACTCATTCATAACTTCAATCTCCTCGTCACTACAAGTCAATTAAATTTGTTGCGACTCAGGTCATACTTGTAAAATTTTCCTTTTTCTTTTCTTACATCAACATTCATGTCCTAATTATCTAATTATGTTTCCCTCCCTCACACTGCTTGTTGGAGGTTATGGGTAGAATTGGGAATTAAAACTTTGATATGGTAGTTCTCATTTTCCAATAACCAATCAGTACTCTTGATGTGCTTCTCATAAATATTTTTAGTATTTCATCCATATGGAGGACACTCAAAAAATCTACCAGCTTAACTCTTTTTTCTATCAAGAAATATCTCAAAACTGGACAGTTAATTCTCACATCAATATGATTCCAGATTTTCAGTACAATCAACTTCTATCGTTGAGGCATTGTTGACCTGAGGATTTTATAGGAGGTCTAAGCAAAATAAAATAAAATTCTATTATTAGATTTTTGTTTAAAAAATCTTATTTTTTGTTGAAAACTAAATAGTTTCTTAAATTCGGATAGTTTTTTTCTAACCAAAGTGACTTATGAACATCTGGAAACAATTGATCTCTGTTCTATTACAACAAAACTCAAAACTTTCTTCTTCATAAAGATGCAACAGAAATATATATAGTTTAATAACTCTTTCTATTTCAAAATATCAATTATTTTTTAGACTTGAAGAAATGTCTACTTACTGATGTTTAGCAAAGTTAACCCAGAGCCTGATCAACTTTTGAGATATCTGAACATTTTCTGGTTGTGACTTAACAGATTTACCGATTCCTGGGATGTAGCTCAAATCAAAAAAGAACACAAGATCATCACCATGAGCAACTCCTAGAATTTAAAAACAATATTAAAACATTTATATCTGAAGGCATAAATGTAGCATTAGTTTAATTCTGTCAGATTTTTTTTGTTGCCTTTTTCAATCATAAATACAATTAAACAATAATTGACCAGCATTATGAAATATATAGCCTATAACATATTCTAACTCTGTTCCTACATGATAATCACATTAGATTTTACCGCACCATCAATAACCTTGGAATAAACATTGATCAAAAGCTTTTTTGGCAAAACCATGCATCCAATATCTCCTGTTGTACTTTTTACACCTTTAAACGTCTAAATTACTTCCGTCACCTATTTCCCCTTGAAACCTGTAGGCTCCTAGTCACTTCCATAATATTTCCCCACTTTGACTATTGCTGTACAGTATATGGGGGCATCTCTGGGGATCTCGAGGCGAAACTAAAACATTTGATTAATTGCTTTATTCATCTTAGGAATCCCAAGGGACGCCTCTTTTTCCCTTTTGTATGCAGAGTTGAAGTGGCTTTATCCTTCCTACCACCGTAAATATTTCCTAGCATCCTTCCTCTTTCAAGTCATCCGATCCCGGCATCCTTCCTCTTTCAAGTCATCCGATCCCGGCGTCCTTCGTACATCTCCGCGCTCCTTCAATTCAAATCCTCTGTTCGTTCCTGCAATACTCGTTCATGGTCTTCAGATATATACACAACGGCCCACTGAACCGCTGCTTTCGACAGATTGTTCATTATCCGATCCTCTACCCTATGGAACTTCATCCCTTCCTACATCCATCAATCCAATACCCTCCCTACCTTTAAATACCGCCTGTTCAGTCATTTCGTATCCATACAGTTTATATAAAATTGTAAATAGATATTACTGTAAATATGTATATAAATTATTAATTTGTTCTCAATAATTTGACATCATGTTTTTCAATTTTTTATTTCTTACTGTTAACTGATTAAAGTTATAAAGTAACTTATATTTTTTTTTTTTATTATGACTATTTAATTATTTTGTATTTTTGTTTATGTATTTCTGAGGCTCCTTAGCCCACATTTCTGTCTTTCTGTATTATTCTAAAGGGATTCTTCCCAGAATAAATAAAGTATTATTATTAGTAGTAGTATTAAATAACAGCCCAGAGCTATTAAAAGACTCATGGTGGAAGCCGACAAGTCACGAGACATAAGAAAAAAAATGAAATAGATGGGGTTTGAAACATTACTATTGCATTACTATATCCATTACTATATCCACTATTGACTCACTAATTACATATCGCTATTGTTAGTGCTAAAGGTCAATATGTAATAATTTAACATGTTTAGTATCTTTGTGCAAAAGGTGAATACGTGTTCTGCTAAATAGCAAAATAGCAGAGGGCAAAGAAATATGAAATTATACTAATAAATTATCAAGAAATAATTGATTTTTATACTCTATTGTAAAAAAACTCAATTTTTACGTGTGACTTTTTGCACTAACAGTAGCAATATAAACCAGCTTTTTAGAAGATAACAAAAATAAAATAAAAAATATAATTAAATTTATATATTGAGACAGATTTAGTAATCAAATACACAAAACTCATTCATACAGTTAATTTAATTTATATAAATTCTTTATAACATTCTATTGAAATTAATCACTGATAGATTCACAGAGAAGGTGAGGGGAGGGGAGTATTTTAAGTTGAAGAACACTGCCCTCTCCCAAAATGGAAAAATAATTTTTTTTCATAGGTTCATATTTGCTTCTTTGAGTGATATAAATATTTAACTAATCGAAATATGTACTATTTTCAAATTATCTAATAATCTACAATAGATCAAATATTCTGCCTCAGAACAATCCTAGACAGAGGAAACTAACATCAAATTAAAATCCACCATCTTTTGTAGACTTCAAGGTAGCTTATAGACTCAAGCTTACAACAGCATTAACTAGGAAAAACTGTACAAGGCACTTGAAAGATTCAATATTCCAGATAAGTTAATACAACTGGTAAAGTTGGCCATGAGAGATGTAAAGTGCACTATGCAGGTTGGTGGTCAAAGAATAGAAGAATTCTCCTCAACAAAAGGACTTATCCAAGGTGATATGTTAGCATACCTTCTGTCTAAATTGGTACTTGAGAAGGCAATGAGGGATTCTGGTCTACAAACTAATGGGATTGTTTACAATCGGATGGTACAGCTGCTAACCTATTCAGATGATGTGGGCATCGTGGGGCAGTTGTTCCAATCTGTTAGAGAGGAATTTTTAGCTCTGTTGGTGGCCATAGTAGTATATGAAGGCAAAACTAAATAATTATATGGCCACAGGAGAAGTTTCCCGATTTGGCGAGACCATCAATATTGACCCCTTTAACTTTGAGAAAGTGGCTCAGTTCAAGTATTTGGAGTCACTGGTGACTTAAGACAATGCACCTAAGGTTCAGGTCAAGAGAAGAATATTGATGGCCAACAAGTACTACTTTGCCCTTCGCAAGGAATTCACCTCTCACCTCCTATCTCGGTATACCAAGCTTCATCTTTACAAAACTTTAATCCGTTCAGTCTTTTTGTATGCATCTGAAACCTGGACAACAACTAAAAAAATTGAGCATGACTTCCTAGTCTTTGAGAGAAAAATTCTTCGAAGTATATTAAGAGGAGTACAACGTGATGGAAATTGGAGAAGGCAGACAAACATAGAAATTTACTCAATTTTCAATGAACAAGATTGAATAAAGTTCTTCATATTCTGAGAATGAAGCTTGGAAGACTGAGATGGGGTGGCCACATGGCAAAGATGGAAGTCAAAGCAATCTTTAAGATAATCATGACAGAACCTCTCTATGTCATTAAAAGAAGGAGGAGATCAAAACTGTGATGATCAGATGATGCAACAAGAGACTCGAAGGATGTCTTGTGAGTCAGAAGCTGGATGATGCAGCACAGAACAGAGATGACTGGAGGAGGCCAAGAATCGTCACCGAGTTGTAGTGCAGCGATAGATAGATAGATGATATTGGTTCTGCGAGTGATCTAAATATTTAAACAATCAAATTATGTACTCTTTTTAAATTATAACATATGTATGTTAGCTACTAAATGTAAGCACGTGTCAAGAAAAAATTTATCCCTAAAAGTATTACTGTTCATGGTATTATTTATTTATTTTTTTGACAGGCCTTTAAGGGCTACTTAAACATTATTGTCTATAGCTTCTTTGTTTGTCTTCCAGAATAATTACTGTTATTAAAAAAAATTAAATCCTGGATCCGCTAGTAAAACTAAGTACATTATGGATGTGACATATTCGGGGATTTTATAAATACTTAAAATGATAATAATAATAATAGAAATTAAAGAGCATGTGATCATGTCAGAATGTAAATAAATTCTTCACCTGAGGTGGTATCTATCTTCCTCCTCAATAATGATTCCCATATAGAAGGAGCTCCAGTAGCGTTAAAGACATAGAAATATTTTGGACCCTTGTGTTTCTTGAGCTCATAAAGTGCAGGATATACAAAGTAGCCTTCGGTGTATAGCTAAGCAAAAAAATTCAATTATAAAAAATTAATTTGATCAAAACTTGATTTAAAAAATAAAAAATTGAAATTAAAAAAAATAAATTAACTGTCTATAAAAAAATAAGAATAACTATAAATACCCACTAAAAAGGATTAAATTTAATAAGATCTTATTTCCCATCTCCCAAGTATAGTAATCCTAATTTCTTTGATACTTTAACGTTTCTCGAGAGGTAGCCCAAAAATCATCGAAGACAAGAATTTTAATTAAAGGGATTGGAAATACTATAGAGTATTTCTGTTCAAAAGTTGACTGTGTTTTAAATGTACTTTATTGATATGAGCACGTTATACAAATATTATTAAAGTTCATGCTATGTTCTTATTATAAATTAAATATATGTTTAATAAATATTTTTCATTAAAGTACATTTACAAAAATTTCTTTTTTGAACAAAAAACTGATGATGCTCTACCATCATTATAATCCCACCCCTCAATATGACATATGGTTGTCCATCATTCAGTATAAAAATATGTATTCAATGAAATTCAATTTTAAATTACCTTTTCTATTCCTTGTTCAACATCATTATCAGGAAAGAACTTTTCAAATATTTTGCTGACAGCATTTTTATTATTCTCTGGAAGATTGAGCATTCTCCTAAGGTATTCATCTTTTTTCTCCAGAAATTCTGCCATGATTGGTTTATCCTTAAGATGAGTTAAAGCTGTAATGATGTTCGTAAGAAAATTATTAAACAAATTTGAATGTATCTTAATAAGTTACTTGGGTAGAAGTTTTTCAAGGGCACTTAATGTACTTACAAATGGTTTCTCCAAGTATCTTAATAAGTTTCTTTTCTTTCCATTCAGTTTGTATTAAGTAAACCTCTTTAAATCCCAACATTTTTTAATATTTATTTAAGTATCGTATTTAATGAGGTTTTCCGCCTGAATGGGTATTTTCATACTTTAAAAAATATTAAATGAGAGAAAAATATTATAAAGACAAAACAAACAATGGTATTAAGGAATTTAATTACTTTGAAATAATAATAATTAAAATTGTTATAAAAATAATTTTAATTTTAATTGCTCAATGGTGTAGCTAAGGACTGCACCCAATAGAAGTGTATTTCATGCGCACCTTCTCCTACCAGAAAAAATACCCAATTTCACCCTTATTCTTTAGGCACAACTTAATCTCGCAGCAATGTGAAACTCGGTCTTAAAGAAACTAATCAAAGAATATTTACACTTACAATAAATAAGTAAATAATGCTTAAAAGACTATTTCTTTTTGTTGAAATGTCTATACACAGTGGTGCCACAGCCTCTGTGTGCGCAGCATTTGTTACATTGTTGTTATTTACATTGTTAGTTGTTTTTCAACTATTCAGTTGATTTTAAAACTCAATTCAATTTTCTTTTATATAAATTAATGAAAGAATTAAATTACTTTTTATCTGTGTTCTAACCAAAATTAATGGAAAATACAACTTCAGTGATGGAGCTCAGCTGCTTTTTTTTCTTCCTTTCAGCAAATAATTAAATTAATTTATGGAATGAAAAATTCAGAATGATTTACCTTAATACCTGATTTCATTTTTTATCTACCTGATTATCAGAAAATCTTCCTTACAACTACAAAATCCTTCTCATAAATTTCTGTTTTGTTTTAAAAAATGATGATAGTGTTATTTCCATTAGGATTATTATACTGACTATAGAAAGTAGTGTATGAAATTCAAAGATGTGAAAAGTAATTATATACTTAGTTATAATATCTATTTCTTAAGAGAAATTATAGTTAAACAAAGTAACATGATATGACATTTATTAAAGAACATAAATTACAGTTTTACAAATTAACATCTGGATGTTACTTAATATACTTGAAAATGAATCCTAGGATTTATTTTTCCAGGGGAAAAAATTTTACAGACAACTAAAGAAAAGAATAGTATTTATCAACCTTAGGTTAAACAATTCTTAATTAGTATCAACCTTTATTGGTAATTCTTGTAAATTATTTATTAATTCTTAGTAGTTAGTAGCAGTATCACTTTTCTTAAGTTATTCTTAATCATTCAAAAACAAAATTGTTTTTTTCTATTATTTTATATAATTTTAAATCCCAATCTTGAAATACAATACATTTTATTTATTACATGCATCTGAAGTTTCCCTGGAATTTCCTAAGATAGTCTTTTGAAAACTTTCTAAAAATCTGTATAGAGATTCATTACTATTTGTTTTAGAATTTGGATTGTAAATAAAATATTACTTTAATTATTTATTAATGTTCAATATGAATCAGTGACAGCCTTAGTACCGGGCAACTCAAGTCAGGCCTGTGGCCACCAACATGTAGGTATACTTGCCACAATTTTAATAATAAAAATTTTAAAAAATATTCAAAGAGTATTAGATAAATTAATTTTAGTCTACTAGTCAACTATTTGGATTAGGGATGTCTTGCATTAATTCTATTTCAAAATATTACGTAATATATAACAAATTAAGAAATGTATTTATTTTTTGAGAGGTGTGCAGAGGGGACATCCATGTCATAAAGTCCTGAGAGCCCCAAAAGTCTATGCAAGTACTGATTTGGATCTTACCTAGTGATTTGAACAATCCCTCTCGGCTGCTAACACCAGTAAGCCAAGGGAAATTACTATCTGTCACGGGCCATTCGGTCAACAAGGAACCATTAAGTTTAGGTTCTAATACAGGTCCATATATTATTAGTGGTTCCTCAACCCAAAACTGGAAGGTAAATAAAAATAATACACGTGAATAAATATTATTATTACTAACATGGAGTACCTAATTTCTACAATATTGAATCTATATCACAGTATATATCTTTGTCCTATAGTTTGTAAAGTAAGAAGGTTGATTTGTTGAGTTCCAATAGTAGTTGTAAGAATACCAGAATAATACAACAACTCATTCTCACAATAACTTTTCATGGGTTCTGGCTTTCTTAAGGAAAATTCATCAATTGGCTCTATTTGTGTAGAAATCTTCCAGTTACAGACAATTGACAGTTCAGCTGTTAAAGTTAAACCGTAGGAGTATAATTCCCACCATTTATTTATTGAATGTCTAGATAGCCAGTTCTAGCTCCATAAAGCATCTCAGTAATCAGCCTCTTTACAATTCGTTGTTTGGAATTACAAGAGAGAGTATCTCCCAGGGTGCTTGAGTTGAGTAGAAGATAGTGCCACCAATTTGGAAGTTGTGTTTGGCAGAACATTGGGAAGCATTTAAAGACAAATGAATTTAGTGCAACAAAGAAAGAAACATTGTATATAAAAAAGGCAAACTTGCCAATTCATACTTGACTTTATTTTAAAATCAGTGTTTAATTTTAGTATAAATAGTGTAAAAAATAATAGTTTGTCTGAGTTGATCTGATGGTCAGTAACCCACACCTGAGATAAATAAATATATTAATACTCTTATAATTTTGTTTATTATTAAACAAACTCTTATTTATTTAGAAAGTATCCCAATGGTAAGAAGTGAGCTTCAGAGGTTATATTATTATTATTTGTAAAATATAAGAGATGTTACACTATATACCAGTTGATACGAAATCATGTGCCAAGGAAATTGTGGTTTCAGTGCAAAATTTATTATTAGCCAGCTGATACCAGCATCAACTGGATCCTTTCAGCATGGAGTTCAATTATCTTTATTGTGGTAATCTGTTCATTTTCACACTTAAATTTAACTTGTTAAAATCGAATTCCCGCTCATATCCCATAACTCAAGAAGACAACTTTGATAGTAAATAAGTTTTTTATTTCTGCCATTATCAAGCTTTTTTTTTTTTGTTTTTTACATTGGAGCCATTAGGTAAATTAGACTCTGATAATATGAGCTATTAACTTTAATCAGAAATAATAGAATTTTCAGCATAATTTCTTGAAACTGTAGGAGGTTTCCATCAAACTGAAGATAACCTGATGTACTTCTACCTTCAGTTTTACTGTCTTGATTACTTTTGTCTTAAATTTTAACCAATGATTTTTTATTGATAATGTTAGCATCTCATCATTTACAATTCTATTTTCCTCACATGATTATTTTTCTAAGAAGTTCCTTTTGATTTTGATTTTTTTAAAAGTAATCATGAAGGTAAATAAACAAGAAATAAAAAGTAAAATTCAGATAATATTATTCAGTCCATTCAAAAACTTATTTATTTAACATTAATAAAAGCACATACCCTCAATTTATCTTGTGCTTTAGTGATTTCCTCAATAGTCTTTGATTGAAGGCAAGTCGGAATATCTTCTGAATTACATCCAACAGCTTTGGCAACCGTGAGAGCAGATCTCTTAGCATTACCTGGCTTCTGAAGAGACCAGTGACTACCTCCAACACCGCTCTGAGAGATACAGCCTTTTAGTAAAGCTATAAAATAATTTTATTGTATTACTTTTTTTCTTGCATTTAGAATAGGTGAATAAGAGAAGTTAATATTAAAATTAATACACATTAATAGTTGCATTTTTGCATTTATAAATTATTTTTATTTTATGGATAAAAATAATCATATTCATTGATCAAATGATCAAAGGCATAACTAGGAAAAATTTATAGAAACTCATTGTCAAAAACAGTTTGTCATTGACAGAATAAATTTCTGATATGTCTGCTTTATTTTGTAGTTATATGTGTTGTGCAGTGTAAATTTAAAAAAATATATTTTCTTGTTTTCAGAATGCAATCAAAATTAAAATTAAGACAGAATTCAAACCAGTTCGGTCTTGCACCTTTCAATTTTATCAGGCAGAATTCTTTCTAAAATATAAATCAGATATGTGGTGCTAATCAAATCGATTTCCACTTATAATGCAAGCACCTTTGTTATAAATGTAAAATAATTATGGTGTAGATTACATATAGGAATTCTCAAACTGGGTAGTGCGGCACTTTGGGATACCATAAGATTATGCTAGGAGTGGCATGGCAATAATGTTTAATTACAATATACAATATCTTATTATCAACTTGGTGAACGGACATTGAAATATATATATGAAATACTTATTGGTAAATGAGATTTAATTAAAATCATTCAAATTTAAGATAATATCTGTACAAAATTATATTTGGTTTATATATGTTGCATTAAAAATGGGTAAAGATTCTATTATAATACCACTTCAAGGATAACTGTATGGTAATTTATTTTAGCACCAAAAGGGTGCTGTGAAAATATTTTAACTTGAAAAGTGTCCTGCAAATAATTTTCAGCCTGACAAGGGTTTCATGAATAATTTTTAAGAGTATTAATTAATCATTGCCCTGAGAAGAGTCATGATTAATTGTTAACCTTAAAAGGGTAACACAGCAAAGAAACTTTGATGACCACTGGTTTATGCCATCACATGATGAATTATTATCCAACTTCAAGATACCAATTTCAATTATAAATTATACTTTTTATTTTTAAAGATAAAGTATTTTTTCACATTGAGTATTACCTCTAGATCGTGGCAAAGCACAGAGATAATGAGCAGAAGCTGCACCAGCGCTTAGACCAAAAGCAGTTATCTGATTTGGGTTGCCACCAAAATTGCTTATTTCATTTTTGATCCATTCAACAGCTGCAACCATATCTTTCAATCCCATATTACCTGGGATTTTTTCATCTTCTGTGCTCAAGAAACCTAGAAAATAAAATAAAAGTTTTATTTCCAATTTAGTGAATCTTCGCAACCACTGATTAGTCATCAAATATTTACTACTGAAAATCTAATCTAGCTCTTTCTAGTGAATTAATGAATGTTTCATCCAAATTCTACTCGATAGTAAACATTTAGAAAAACTTTTTTTTCCTTTAACTTATAGAAATACTACCAGTAACAAAGTAAGGATTATAGTCAGAATAAAAATAGCCATTTGAAATTAAAATATTCTAATCAACAAAAATGAGCAATCTCAGACATCATGCACTGAATTATTTGTTGAAATAAATTAGTTGACCGAATTATAAATACCTAAAGCTCCAAGGCGGTAGTTGATGGTAACTAACACAACATCTTCATCCATGAAGTATTTAGCTCCCGTGGAAGGACCAGGCATTCCCATCCTCCAGCCTCCTCCAAAGAAGTAGATCATGACAGGAAGTGATCCACTAGTCTAAAAGAAATTTCTCAAGTTTTTAAAATCAGTTTATGCATATTCATTATTTTTATTTATTTTTCTCAAGTGAATTTTTATTTTTCTATAAATTAATCATATTAATAAATTAATAATAGTTCTACAATAATTTCAGTGTGAAGAACAATAACGTAATATTCAAATTAGGCAAAGATATCAAATTATACTATTATTACTTTCACTTACCTATATATGTAATGTATAGTAAGGGTAAGTATTGCGATTGTGAAAATTTTTGAATCTGAGTTTTCAACGGAAATATACATTTTGAGATCCCCTAAGTCTAAATAACCAAGTCCCGCAAAATGTGTTTGTGTGTGTGTGTGTGCGTACGTGTCTGTGTGTGTATGTCTGTCACACAGACTCAGTGTGTGTATGTGTGTGTTAACAGTCTAGCTTAAAAATGAAAAGACGTACGGAAGTGAAATTGCATATTTAAGGTTTTCATATGCTAGGAATGTTACAGTAACTTTTTCGTAAAAATTGGCTAACGGAAAGTGGGACTTTATACAATAGAATAAACACATTTTTACGATTATCTCAAAAACCGCCTTAACAATTTTGATTAAATTCATCATATCATTGTAAAATTAAGCAGTTTTAAATAAAATTTGTTATTATTCTGATTGATGTTCTCTAACAGGCCTTAAATGGCTAATTTTCAATATTAGTTTCCTCTAAAGTATCTTTTTTTTAAATAATTTTTTTATTTGAAACAATTGACCATTTCACATTAATTTCTAATATGAAAAATGGTTAAATATGAAATATGAGAGAATTTGATGAATAACTAAAGGAGAAATAAGAGATCGTAACGAAGAATAGTTGCAATTGAAGAACCAAAGGAATAAGCGCGCACCCAAGCTCGCCCAAAAGATTAGAACACGCTTCCATACGCATCATGAGATTAATATAATATGTATTCCGACAATATCATATAAATATACATATGTGGTTTTCATAAATCCTATTGTTGGTATTATTCAATATTTAATTGTATAGATTACAGTGATATAAATATTAAAATTTGTATATATGTGGCTACTTACACAAATAAAAATACCCACAATGAAATATAAATAAATATAGAGTCCATAATTTTTACTTTCACTTCGCTTAATCTGAAAATACTTATTTATGCTAAGTGGGTGGTAAGTGAAAGTTGTGTGATGAACGCACCACATCGGATTTTTTTTATACAATTGTGCTTTAGTTTGGTATTGTTTATAACAATAATATTTCTCCAATATTTTAGCCCATTTGGCAATTAAAAATCAAATTATTCTGTAAGATTATGATAAGGCCTCTTTGATAACGGGCTAATTGGCTGAAATGTTTGAGTTGAAAATAAAGAAAGAAAATGGATCTAATTAAAGATTATTATTAAAAATGAGAATAAAAAAAACTTAAATAACTATATTAAAAATGATCCTGTATAATTTTTTTTTCATATCAACTCTAAAAGTATAAGATATATTTTTTAGTATTCAAAAAGTAAGGCTGATTTATTTATTTTTTTTAAATACATAAATATATTTTTGAGAAATTCGTAAGAAAAGTAAGTTTTTAATAGTTACTCCAATAGGTAATATATTTGGAATATTTTTTTTATATAGAAAAATCATAGTTATAGATTATTGATAGAGGCCAGATTTTTAATTAATTGTATTCTTAGTTTGTCTACTACAAAGGTTCTCAAACTGGGTGACACAGCTCCGTCAACAGGAATGATATTTAATTTCAATATTTATAGTCAACATTGTTGCTTGATGAATAGGAATTCTTCAACTTTATTATTTTATATCTATTAATAACAGAATTAAATTTAAGATCAATAAAATTTAAGATAATATCTGGGAAAAATTTTATTCGGTTAACATCAGGACATGAAATGCAAATTTTCATTTTTATTTTTTAACAGTTTCATTAATGGCATTTTCATTTTATTATTTTTTTTTTCAGTTATTTCGAAACTAGAACTTTTAACCTTGGAACGTGTAAGTAAAGGTTACTTTTAATTTTTGAGAAACTTTTATCTAAAAGTTCTGTTGATTTTCTCAAAAAGTCTATCTAAAAAAATTACTTTTATTTTTAGCTACTCAAACAAAAAACCCATTAGAATCAAGTAATTCATTTAGATAAATTATAATTCTAATCTAAGCCCAATTACCATTTATTTCTAATTGACCATAACTTTTTTAATAAAATAAATGGCTTAAATAAATAAAATTCATTACTTCAGAATCAGAAAATTCAAGAAATTCTCATAACCTTATGGTGGAAGGACACGCTTTCAAAAATATCAATTACCTTTACCTATCAAGGGACAGAAATAAATAATGAAAACAGAATTATGATTGAGGTGCACAGAAGGATAATGGCTGCTAACCATGCGTATTTCGCGACTTTAATGCTTTTTAGATCATCCTTGATACCAAGGAAAACAAAAATAAGGCTATACCTTAATAGGAGCCACACTTATGTGGCTGAAACATGGACAATTACTGCCACCATGGTAAATTTTTTAAGGGTCTTCGAGAAGAAGATTCTAAGAAAAATATTTGACCCCTTGTACTACGAAACAACTCAAGCATGGAGGATTAGAACCAATAAGGAACTATATGATTTATTCAATCATAGTGAAATTGAGAGCTTTATAAAATCATTGTAGATCGAATGGCTGGGGCACGTTCTTTGAATGCCAGATGAGAGAATACCTTAGAAGGTGCTCTAAAGAAGAATTTATGGTGTCAGAGGAACGAGAAGGCTGAGAAGAAGGTGGTTAGAGGATGTGGAGGACGACCTCAGGTTAAGAGTTACAAACAGGAGGGAAAAGGCTAAGGACAGGGACATCTGGAGGGCTGTTGTTCTGGAAGCCAATATCCACCTCGGGTTGTAGAGCTATCGAAGAAAAAATTAATAAAAGTTAAGGTTATACCGCAAATCTAGAACTTTATTATGAAAAATTCCTCAGAAATTTTATTTTTGGAACTGTTTTCTTTAAAAGTTTCACAGGAATTATTAAATAGAATTTTAAAGAAGTTCCATAAAAGCTTCAAACCCCAGTTTACATATCTTGCTTTAAAATTGGGTTAATATTCCATTACACTCTCATTTTAAGCATATATTTTCAACAAATGTTTTTTAGTCTGGTGAGGATGCCACAAAAATGTTTTAGTCCAACAAGGGTGATATGGAAAAAATGTTTGAGAACTTTTAGTTTCTTCATATTTGTTCATTAAACATCAGTCAGTATCATTACATTTAAACACTAGGAAATGAATAAATAAATTGCATAATTCTATGCAAACAATTTTTTTTTTAATTACAAAAATTGTTTTCCAAGAGTCAGAGTATGATAAGTGGGACATTTTAACATAATAAGAACATTTAATATATAATAATTTAAAAATATATCATAGAGAGAGAAAACTGTTGGTTCATAACTTATTAAAAACAATGATACAGTACAGCAACTTTTCGACAAAATCAACTCACCCGAAACTGCACTTTATATTATAGCTATTACACATTTGTACAATTTCCTCAAAAACAGATCTAACTATTTTGTTTAAACTAGTAATATCAATGAGATAGTGAATGGTCTTTATTGTCAGGTATGTTCTAACATCACTGAAATAGTCTAACAGGGCTTAAATGTTGAATCTTCAAAGTGGCTTTTTCTAAAGTACCTTTAATTTTTTATTTTAATCATATAATATATTATATGAATAAATTAGTTATTATATCATTAATTAATTATCATGTTGTTATAATGTTATTAACTAAAACTATGAAAGTATTTGATAATTTATAGTGAGTCTGTAGGTCATCAGTCTAACCAGGTATGCTGTGTGGATTGATTGCCGGTTTATTAAGAAAAATAATTGAAAAACTAAATCATCAATAAATCTTATGAATTTTCCAGTATTGTGAAATAAAAATATTTATGATATAATATGACTGAAATCCAAAAGTATGCATTACAAGTTTAGTTTCAATAAATTTGTTCGTAGTGACTTTTTGCAATAAACCAGCAGGGATATGGATATTCATGGTGAAACAAATTAAGTTAGTTCCAAAAATAAAGATTGATAAGTAAAGAAATTATGAAGATAGATATTTATTGAGAAAATTGGACATTGATTGTTATAAACCAATTCAGCTGAAAGGAAATGAATATAATTGAAATATTCAATTTTTATGTTTAATTTGTTAATTTCAAATAATTAACGTTAATTATAGCCACATATTTTTTATATTTAAAAAACTAGGGGAGTACCAACAAATTATGGCGAACCAATCTCCATTTTAGAAAATTATTTTACTGTTCATTTAATTGCACTACTTGTTACTCAAATTGTAAAACTATAATTTACATGTACTCTGTAGTTCAGATTGTATTATTTTTTCTTTTTGCTCCGGGTGTACATTTTCAATCTATTCTCTTTCTTAACAATTTCTGTCTTTTGTACACTTTTACATTTAATTTTTTCACAAAATGTGTTCTTCATCAGTTATTCTCAATTTTTATGGCCTATTTTTATTATTCCATCTCATATGTAAAATAAAATATTACATGGTAACAGTAAAAACTTTTTTATATATTAGAAGAGCAGAATTTCATTCTGGTTATGCCAAGTTAGAGCATAATTGGGTCTTTTATATTTAACTATCGTCTGTCACTTTTACTAACAGTTAGTTTTAGTTAGATAACAATTATTATTTAGTATGTCGTAAAAGAACAAATGTTTTATTGAAAATAAAATATTACATGGTCACTAAATTTGTTTTTATATAGTAGAGAGAAATACTTATACTATTCTATATTTAATTTTAAATTTAATTGATAGTTGCTTTTTATAGCATTAATTATATCATAAGTAATAAAAATTTTTCTTTACATTTTTCTCTTAAAATTTGTAAACTCTTTATAAATTTCAGGCTGATAGACTATGTTATTTTTTTTAAACAGATTTTTCTGTCATAGTATTTTCTAACATTTTAACAATATATAGAAAATACATTTTCACATTGTGTATATGTGTATTCTGTGTATGTATTTTGAATATTTAATAGTTAACCATTGAATTATAAAGGAGGAAATGGTCCTGGGTGGCGGTCATAGAAAGGCTAAATAGTGGCAAAACTATTTGGCTTTTAATAAAATAGTTTTGCCACTATTTAGCCTTTTTATGACTGCCACTCCAGACCATCTCCTTCCTTTATTATGTATTTTATAAATTATTAACTATTCAAATATATGGTTTAATGCATCACACAACTTTCACTTACAATTCTATTTTAAGTAGAAATTATTTTTTAAAAAGTTGGTAAAACTTGAGAATATAATTTATAAAATTAATATATTAATTATAATTGTAAATACAAACTTAAGGCAGTAATTATAAATTATAACAATCCTTTGCACTAAATATAATTCGTATATCAAGCTGAAAAAAATTAGTTTTCTGTGAAAATTCAAGTGTCTATGAAAACATTTACTATAGAAAAAAATGTGTCTCCCATTTTCTCCTTTTGTACATTATCAAATTGTTTCACACTTCATATTTATCTATTTTGTATTGCTACTAACAGTAAGAAACATTGTTTATCATTTATAATAAAAAAATTAAATGCACTTTAGAGGAAGAAGTTTCGAAAATTCTTCATTAAAACCTTATTACACTATTTCAATGAGAATAAAACTTAAGCGATATTAAAGACCCTTCAATTTTACATTAATATAACAAATTTAATCAAAATCGTTAGAGCCATTTTTGAGAAAATAATAAAAATGTAAAAACAACTTTTTTGTAAAACTTGGTTATTTGAGCTCAGGAAACATTAATTACAATTGATTGAAATACTTTTCTTCACTATATATTGTATGTATGTGTAAGTGGAAGTAAAATTGGTTTATAATTCTTAGGTGATAAAATGTTAAACCTTAGGAGTGTAGACATTGAGGTAAAGGCAATCCTCAGCACCCATAGGTAGATTACTGAGTATTTGGTAGCATGGTGGATGAGGTTTGGATGCGTCCAGAATACCACTCCAAGGTTCTGGACTTACTGGATCCTGTAAAACAAAGAAATATTAAAAAATAAGTGAGCTGTTTTTAATTTAGTCCAAATAATTAGAAAGAAACAAAGAGTTGAAGTAATAGGCCAAATTTACTATTTGGCCACACTTTCGGAATACACAGCAAAAAATATTTATTTGAATTGATATTTTAAAAACAAAACTCTTAATTTTCAGAAGTGATAAAGTTATCCGATATGATTAAAATTATCATGAGATCATGAGCAGTATAAATGTCTGCCAAGTTTCTCAATCTAGTGGATTTTTTATCGGAATGAATGTTCTGGGTTGTGATTCTGAGGAATATCGAATCTCACCAAAAAATTCAAAGTTGGCATATATGATAAAGTCAAACCAAAAACCTATAGTTCATCAATTAGTGGTATGTTAGGTAGGAAATAGAGATAATGCTTATTGTATGAAAATATTAAACAATTTATAATGATGTAGAGATGGTTGACCATGATATAATATGAGAAGGAGTTGGTCGGAGGGTGTGGTCAAATAAATACTAAATTTTTAAAATAGTATTTTGGTACTTTTAATTATTATGCCGACGTTTCTACCCACCTTGCAGGTCTTCATCAGGGCCTGGTCTGTGGCAATGGACTATCAACTGCCTCGTGAAAAAACAGTCTATCAACTGTCTCCTGCAGTGCCACAGACCACGCCCTGATGAAGAAATGCAAGGTGGGTCAAAACGTCGGCGTAATAATTAAAAATACTATTTTTTTAAATTTAGTATTTATTTGACCACACTCCCGACCAACTCCTTCTCACATTAAACGATTAAATTTGACCTCAAGGCCCACAGAAACAGCTATGAACTTCCAGGTTTAAAATAGAAGATATTTAAGAATTTTTAAAGTCAAAACGGCCCTCACTGGGGCTACCGTTAGACATTGGGTTTGGAAGAAAAAATAAAAGTTCCAATTTGGAAGTTTTACTGCATTAGTGACAAACTAATATCGTTTCCCTTCATGGCCAGTAACTTTTAACTTGATTATTGCATTATAAATGCCCTTATGTGAGATAATAGGAGAAGAAATGAAAACCATCTTGTTTGTATTCAGAGCTGATTTGTTGGTATTGTTTGTTCAAACCTAACAGTATGTGCTGGGCAGAATTAAGTACTTTTAGTAAATCCTAAGATAGCTGAAACGTCGGTTTTTAATTATATGCAAAGTTGTTAAGACAGTTTAATCAATTGCAAGCAATTTTGATGGATTTCACAAATCGCCCGAAACCTCCCGAAAAACTAGATATACCCTATTGTTAACATAGGTTTGAATTTGTATAAACAGTTTTTAGATCTTGTCCCAACCTACCACCTTCCGAGTTATTGAAGATTTGACACTCGAGAACGTTGTATTTAGAGTGATTACCATTAACTTTCATTTATTAAATTTTTTTTACAAGCGTGTTCGAGTTACTATGACCCAGATTTTACTAAATAATATCTAATTGTCTAAACTGATCAAATTACAAACATATAACGAGTTTAATAACTAATAAAAGATAAATAAATATTTTTTATTACTACGTACATGTAACTTTATATATTTTTATTTTATTTTAGGTAAGGTAATAAATTATACAATATCCAAACAACGTAATGTTTGCAATAGAAAACCACAAGACGTGGATTTTAAACATTACATTGGTATCTATCGAGAATATGTTTAAAATATTTATTTTACGTGAAATACTTATACTTTAAATACTGAAATAATTATTTTGCACGAAACACATACGATTTAACATAAATCTATTTGGTTTATTTAAATGAAATATTCTATAAACAAAATATTTTTTTAACATTATGGCTCTAACTTATCAATTGCTATTTATATCAAGTATTTTATGTTAAATAATAAGTGGTTAGGGCAAAATAATTATTTCACCAAATTAAGTACTTGAAGTATAATTATTTCACGTGAAATACATACTGAAAAAATATACGCGGTAGATACCAATAAAATGTTTAAAATCCACGTCTTATTTAGATATTGTATGATTTACTACCTATTTCATAATAACCTATTATAATAAAATATATATATATAAAGTTACATGTATGAAATAATAAAAAACATTTAATTTTTTTTTTATTTGCTATTAAACTCGTTATATGTTTGTAATTTGGTCAGTATAGAAAATCACGTATTATTTAGTCAAAATCTGGGTTGATAGTAACTCGAACACGCCAGTAAATAAAATAAAATAAATAAAAAGTAATGGTAGTCACTCTAAATTCAACGTTTCTCGCGTGTTAAATCCTCAATAACTTCCGAGGTAATAGGCTGAGACAAGATCTGAAAACTGTTTTTATAAGTTCAAACCTGTGTTAACAATAACGTATTTCTGGGTTTTCCGGAAGATTTCGGGCGATTTGCGAAATGGACCAAAATTGTTTGCAATTGTTTGAACTGTCTTAACAACTATGCATATATTTAAAAACCGACGTTCCAACTGTCTTAGGATTCATTAGAAGTACCTAATTCTGCCCAGCATATATCGTTATGTTTAAACAAAAAATACCGGCAATCCAGCTTTAAATATAAAAAACATGGTTTTCGTTTCTTCTCCTATTACCTCATATCAGGGCATTATTAATGCGATAATTAAGTTAAAAGTTACTGGCCATGAAGGGAAACGGTATTAGTTTGTCACAAATGTAGTAAAACTTCCAAATTGTAACTTTTGTTTTTTCTCCAATGTTTAATCGTAGCGTTAACTCGCCCCAGTATGCGGCACTTGAAATGCCAGTGTTATGTTTTTGCTAAGGATTATGTTGCAATAACATAATTTTACACAAAAGGCAAATAACATCTCTCTCATCTCATACCGAAACCATCGACCAATAAAAAAACATTATTTAATTTAATTAAATTTATTTTTCCATTGGTTGGGAAAGGGTTCAGCCAGAACGCCTCCCGTGGATCCGCCTGTGGTGAGTTTACTTCATCCTGCTAAAAGATGCAACAGGCTTTCGGAGACTGTGGGTGAGAATTGCAGATGAATCCGGCAATTAGTGGAAACTGATAATCCGAACGCTTACAATCAAGGACTGGAATGAAATGTGTTCGACAACTGCGAGTCTTACCTCGGTAATTTCTAGTCTAGCGGCGCAGGTTGGAATCAGGCCCCACACGGCTTGAAATTTATTTTGTGGGGATCATATGGAATGAATCTTGACCCTCCTGCGCTGGTTAGAATAGGTTGGTTACTTAAGCGATAATACCTGCGAGTCCATCCCCGTCCTCATGAAATAAGTAACTAGAGGTACTTCGTAGCGTTCGGGTAGGGTTGGAAGGTGGCAATGGGACCAAATAATTTCATTATTGATACTCCATTAAAGGTGGGATTCGGTTGATGGAAGAATTCTCAAGAAATTGACGTTTTATTCATTTATTTACCTCTTACCTCGACTTTTGACCTCACGGGTTTAACATTAGTGGCATATACCACATAATGCGTATGTGAACGCTGATAATAAATACAAGATTGAATTTATCAACTGTTATTTATAACTACTTCTAATTCAAGGCTGTAATTATCTCCAACTTTGCTTTAGTTTTCTGGCGGCCTCCTAGGAACCGGTGCTTTCCTCAACAGATTAAAGTAACTGGAAAACAGCTGTTTTCCACCCATTCACGAAGGCGTTGTAGTACTTCTCCGAACGTTCTAAATGGGAAAACTCTGTTTTAGATGGAACATTGAGCGCTGTTTCTTTCTGTAGCTTGGTGATGAATGTAGGTGAGGATGAAAACGAACTTTATTGTTTTCTAAATATTTATTGACTGAGGTAGCATATATGAGCCAGTATTGTGCATGATGACATTCCCACGATTATGCTAAAAGCTAAGGAAGGATGAAAAAATAATATAAAATTAAATATACTTTTACAATCATTATGAAGTTTAATAAAATATGATAAAAATGTTGTTTGAAAGTATCATATTAGTGTACTTCACCTTTGCTTTATTTACTTACACCTATCTGAAGTGTAATGAGATAATATTGACTAAATACAGGAAGGTGTGATAGGCGATTTAATGAAAACTAAAATTATTCTTTTCATAATTTATGATTTTTTACATGTTTGCTCGTTTTTATTTTTCGTTCACACTTGTTTCTTGAAGAAATAGAAGATTAAGAAATATGTAGTGGTCAGTGGATAGATGTGTGTTTATGTTATAACCCTTTTTGGTTTGTGTTTATGCCGCTTAGTTTTTAGATTCTGTTTCAAATGTCAAATGACACATAATAAAAATACTGGAGAGCTAGAGAACAAAATTTTATAAAAATTATCTCCCCTCAGATCAAACAAAGACCTGCAAGACTGTCATTCGGCCTGTTCTAACATATGTAAGGAAACGGACGAAAACTGGCTAAGCATATTTGAAAGAAAATATTGAGGAGGATTTACGGTCCTATCATCGAGGGAGATGTCTGACGAAGGCTTACCAATATGCAGCTCTATGAACGGTTCAACAACATGGACTTCTTTGAGCTTGAGAGACTTCGTTGGGCCGAAAGAATGTAGAAAGAATAGAGCACGAAGATATCCAAAAAACATTGAAGAGCTCTTACACCAGACCCATAGAGTAGGAAGATCTAAAGAACAGCTAACAGCTATACTGCTTTTACGCAACCGAATCGGACTGGAAGAAAGAATCTACAAGTGAAATTTTGTTTTTTAAAAACTTTTTCAAGGTTCTATTTAACTTCAAGACTAATTTCCCTTTTTCTGAACATAGTGCGATAAATAAACTTCAATTCTGTCAAACCATCTCTGTAACCCAGAGTGGATCAGGAATAGTGGAGGCTCTAAGCAGAAAAAAAAGGAAGGCTAGGAAAACCTTTTAATGGAATATTGATAACTTTTATTTCACATTCAATATTAAATGTTCTTCAATATATTCACATTTCATATGTTATTAATATTTACTTTAATTTCCTAGATGAATTTCAATCAACCTAAGAATGGTGGATGCTGGCCACTGGCCACTGGCCCGACGACAAGAAAGGGGGTCACCCGGGGATCAGGTTTTTTTTAACATCTTAATTCACAATTAAATAGAATATAAATAGCGTTGAATATATTATGTAATATGGGGACGGGTTGGCCGAGCAGACTAACGCTTGTATACGGCACCGCGTTGTCCGCCAATCTAATAAAAGATAATTTGATAAAATAATTAACATAGCGTCCTGTTGCCAGGGGGAAGGTGGCTTTTAGATCTGATATTAAGGCCTCGCCCTAATCCCCTGGCCCGGGGAAAACGTGTATAGCCTATATGGCGAGGAAGATGAGAACGTATATATATATATATATATATATATATATATATATATATATAGAGAGAGAGAGAGAGAGAGAGAGAGTGAGAGAGTAATAATTAGCAAATATCTCATAACAAAATGTTTGTTCTCGCTGTATAAAAGGGTTCGTTTTAGTATTAATAGTAAATTTAATATTTGGAGAGGCCTGGAAAAATAATCCTAGGAATCCCAAAGAATTATCCCAGGAACCCTTGGTTTCTCTCCACTGGCCATTTATTCATTCTCAATACCAATTTAACGAATAGTCAGTTCACTTAGCCTAAAATAATTTACAATCTCTTGAATTTATTGTAACCTATAATTTCAATTTCATCTGAATAACTTCCATATAGTACCTTTAGAAACTTTATTTGTAAGGTCCTCCGAATCCATATCATAATTGAAATTTATTTAACAAATTTATAAAATACATTAAACTGTAAATCCTATATTAAATAAAGAAACGAACATACAGCTATTAGTGTTATTAAAGAACAACTCACCTTGAACCTGAGTTCACCGAGGGGCGGTTTGGCGAAGGGCACTTTAGTGAATGCCAAGTACTCCCTTCCGTTTCTCGACTCCAAGACGGCTCCCTTCAGTCGACCCAAAGAGGTGCTGACCTCTGGACTGGTCTTAGCCGCCCAGGAGAATCCGAACAAAGCACAGAAGAGAAGGAGGTCCATCCTATAGAAAGAGGTACCTGCCAACAGATGAAAGAAATCGTGAACCGTTCTGATAAACCTTATCTTCTGATTATGGCAAATAGATATCCGACTATTTATATCTGCTCTCTTTAGTTTTTTGGATCATTCTTTAATATATATATATATACATCTTTAAAAAATTAAACTGATGATAGGTAAAGAACTGTGAAAACCAGTACTGTTGTTTTCAATAATCATTTCATTTACCCTAAGATAAAAAAAATGGATAAGAAGTGGCCTACTATACACCTGAATTTGCCAACGTGATAAGTGTGCTTGACCTTAGATCGAAGATTTGGAAGTTACCTACATTAGAATTAGCATGGCTTAGCTTCTTATAAGAAATTGGATGATCTAATACCATTGAAAACTTTTTTCATGTAGTTGTAGCATTCTCTTAACATAGCTAGGCCTCGAGTGGATCTTTCAGTCATATATAAAATTTATAGTTAAATTCCTGGAATCATTCCTCTTTATCATGAGAAACAAGTTACTCAGTTTAGTAAGGTTACTCAGTGAGTAAGGTACTTTGCTCTTATCCAACCGCAGGCCCGGAATTAGAGGACGACTGTGGCAGATAATTGTTTATTTTGTTATATCATCTGCAGCTTGATTCTGGGATCAAGAGACCCACAAGAAGTGGGTTCCTTTAACGGGATGGAAACTGGGAGATTGAGCTAGGCCCTGGACAGTGCCGCCCTTAGACATTTGACGCCCCCGAGTAATGGCTTTGGAAAATGATCTTTCTCCTAACAAATTTTAATTTATTTATTAATCTGTTCTATATTATGTAATATATGAATTTTATTTCATTCAATGTTTCTCTGATACAGTTGCTTTATTAAGAGGTGAAAATCAATTATTCAATTCGTTTTATATTTTCGGTCCTATTAAATATGCTCTCCTACCTCTCTGATCGCATCTTTCGAATTCGGTACAGAATTTTCGTATTGATAGCCAGTCAAGGCCGGTGTTCCTCAACGTAACATTTTGGGTTCCATCCTTTATATCCTCGTTACCGCTGAATTCCCTATCCATCCCGATACCTTCCTGGCAATGTTTGCTGATGACACCACCATCCTATCATCTAACTCTGAACTGATTTCTCCAACTCAAATAGTATCCTTCAATCTACAACAGCACCTCTCTCTAATTGAACATTGATGTAATAATTGGCATATTAAAGTAAATTAATCAAAATGCAAGCTTATCACATTCTGACACAAATCCTGTATCCCAATATTTTTTTAACTCTATACCGCTCCCATTCCAGATGCAGCCCAACATCTTAGTTTTTTTTTATAGAAGACTAACGTGGAACCCACATACTAGACTCAAAAGACAAGAACTTAACGCACGATAGGCCCAACTATACGAATTCTTACTAGAAAATCTCAACTTTCAATTGACCCTGCCTTAGGCCGTCCTCAACTGCAAACTTTTCTGTTAGTGCTCCTTGTATCTTGACTTTACAGCAACTATCAGTCAGTATCATCCTTGTTAGTCTAACTAACTTTTTCGGTACACCTAGAGTGACTATTACTTTCAATAACTCGCCTCTATTGACACTATTCTAAGCCTGTTTAAAATCGATGAAAATATGATGAAGATCTACATAATATTCATTACATTTTTCCAACATCTGTTTGATGGAAAATATTAGGTTGATTGTAGATCTATTTGGTCTAAAAGCGCATTGATACTCACCAAGAACACGTTAATATACTAGTAACTCTTTATTTAGGAGCGAGGAAAATGCCTTATATACCACCCCTCAGAAGAGATACACCTCTATAATTTTCGCATTTAGTTCTGTCTCCTTTTTGAAAACTGGGGAGATGATAGCTACAGTCCACTCTTTCGGCATTTTTTCTTCAACCCATACCTCCAACAAGTCGTATACTTTCTTTAGTAGGTCCTCTCCAAAATATTTCATCATTTCCGCATCAATGCCATCATTTCCTGTGCTTTTATTGTTTTTAAATGTTTCAACCACTTCCATGAAATCCTCTTGCAGATTCACTACCCACTCTAAAAAGACTAAGAAAGAATTTTGATACAAGAATCAATGTTAGTTCCCATTGGCTATTTTAATTAATTATTTGAATACTAATTTATACTTTTTTTTTATTAAAGGTTTAAGGATTACTTCCTGAATTTTAAACTTCTCTCTACTCCAGTCATGAAACAAGGAATAAATAGTAAATCTAACCCAACTGTGGAAGTTCGTGACTACTGAACATTAACTAAGTATATCGAGGACAAGCCTTCGAGTTCCGCATTATACACTCATTCTCCGTTATTTTATCAAAAGTATATAGAATATTATGTAACAGTTTTTTTTTTATTACAATTATATTTCTATAATTAATATCAATATAATATTGAATATCATATTACATCATTACTAAAAATGATGTGAAAACATGAAAGAAGCAGTTTTTTATGAATTTAAAAAAGGTAAAAACGTTATGTTAGATTTTAAAAAAGATTTTTGTTCGTCAGTAAAATTACTTAATTTGCATATAAGAGATATTTGCATTTCATTATCGATATTTTATTTTATGTTCATGGGAAAAAAAATAGTTATTACCTACTGACAGCAATTTATTACGGTGTATTATTTTAAAATCCTTTAATGTCAAATGTTTTTGCAATGAAATAATGTAAAAGGAGAAGAAAAGTCCATAGAAAAATAAAGTTTCATGTGGCGTAATTGCTTTCTTAACTATATAATAAAACGCAATAATAATTAATTTGAAGATATTGGTTATTATTTACTAGCTCATGTACCCATCGTTGACGGGTATATAGTTAAAATTTGAGAATCTTTTTTTTAGATGGATATTGTATTATGAGGGAGGAGTTAATTTCATAACATCGGGTGAGGGGAAAGAGATAATTTTAATTTTTAGAAGATTTTCTTCCGATTTCCGGCTAATCCGTTAGGTTATTCCTGTATACGACAACATTTATTAGGCTCGGGAAGTTGAATAGAATGATACCTTGAACGGAAAGATCGGATAAAGTTGAAAAATAAGTGTTTTAAGCAGCAACGCGTTATAGATGTTTGATATTTCGAATTTTTCTCGATGAGTTGTGATAATTTTTTCCTTCAGTTGAATAGTACAACTTTTAAATGTGGCTCGCGGTAGAGTAGGTTGGGATTACCCAAGAATTCATAACACTGGTTCTATTCAATATTTTGTTTTCATTTAAAGCCTATGTTTTAAGTAAAGTAAACCTTAATATAATTTCAAAAGTCTACAATAAGCCATTGCTGAGCTTACCCCTGAACAAATTTCGTTGCAATGCGGACAGACAGACAAAAAAAGTTTTAAAAGTGGATTTGGTGTTTGCAATGTATGAAACGGAAAGATAGCATAAAACAGGTTGATTCTATTCATAGTACAGACAAAATCTTTATTTTATTTATATAAATTTATTTTTTCTAATTGGGATTTATAATTGTTTAAAAATACATATTAATTCTGTGTAATGGGTACAAAGACTATCGTAAATTCGTTAATCCATTCCATCTACATCATATCATGCTTATTACCTTATTTTAACGTTTTGATTAAAATTAAAATGTCACAGATAGCTAGAAGTTTGCATTCAAAAAGTAATTCTTACGGTGAAGGTCAAAACTAATTTCATAAAATTAAAAAAAAATCAGTGATCCCTCCAGTCCAGGAGCTGATTCAGAATAACCATCCGAATCCTCTTGTTTCTAAACTTGCTTCCTCCTCGATTCCTGATAACCCTCCGAGGCGTCTGAAAAGAAGATGGCCTCGTGATCTTCTCATGTTGACAAATTATTAGAGTGCTACCAATGGGTAGTTTCCCAACAAGCGTGTTTCATGTGGTAATATTCCTCTGTACACATTTACTTGATGTATTTATATTAATACAGTTGTAAATATCATAATAAAAGTTTAAAAAAAAAAAATTATTTTGATAATTATTTTTTTTTATAACTGCAAAAACAGGAAAAATAATTTTTTTAGAGATAAAAATCATATATTTCTGCTAGACACTTCTTTTCATTTCGTGGCTATAATACATTCGCTTTAATTTAAAAAGAGGACCAATTGTTTAACTATTTGGCTTAGATCACTCATAGGAACAAATATGGACCAATAAACAGAAAATTATTTTTCTATTTTGTGATAGCTTCAACCCGATAGCCTTCTTTAAATCCGCTAGGACCCCAGACCTTAAAATCCACTAATGTGACCTCCACACTAGTAAGGAACAACCATCGAAGAAACTTTTGTCTGCTCTAGGAAGTCGAAGCTAGTTCAGTTCTCCGGTCATAAGATAATCAATGGTAATTGCTGTTATGGAGCCAAAACCTGCATATGCATCTCAATGAATCTTTAGTGCAATGAGGTTTTTTACTGGGCATGAAAATTAATTGGCAAGCAGTGAGCGGATATACGGCCTGCCAGAACAAGCCAACCATTTAATCAAAAATGTCTCTCCTTCTAAAACTAAGTTGCTACGGTTGGTCTACTTAAAAATAAGATGAGATTAATTATTTGAGTGTTCATAGACCATACGGCACTTTTAAACTAAAATAAATAAAACAAACTATAGATTGAGTTTTTCATTATAGTTTTATTGATTGATAATAAGTTCATTTCATTTTAAAAGATTGTAACTTTTTTTTATAAGTGAATAAAACAATCCAATAATCATTGTGCTGATCAGAGATAATCAGGGTGTAGTAGTGATGTTAATATTGAAGAAAAAAAAAACCGTCTCCCAGGTAAATCAGTAGGTATATTTTCCTCACCATTTTTATCGGACAACTATTTCTCAATAAAGTTAAAGGTATTGCGACATAGTGCCTTTCTAGGTTATAAATAAGCTTGCCAAAAGTATAAATACACTTGGCCACTACTCGAGAATGCCAAGTGCAATAGAAATTGGTATTCAAAAGAGTTTCCCTCATTCGATCGCTTAAGTGTGACTGGGAACGTAAGTTATAGCATGAAAAAAAAACATATATATGCATATACATGAAAACAATAATTACTCCTGTAACGCATATACAGCTACTAAATGTAACTACGTCTCATGAAAAAAAAAATCTCTGAAAGTATTCTTGTTCGAGTGATTATATTTTTAAAAGATCTTCCAGAATCACTTAAACAGTGATTAATTTATATACGTGGGTTATTTTTTATATTGTTCTTCCCATTTGATTATCGCTTTATATATACAAAGCTTTCGCGCTGAAGCCCTCAAAATTAAATCCTGGATTCGCTAGTGTAGGTGAGTTTTTTATATACAACCATATAAATTCTTGTTCTAAATGTTTAATATCTACAATCTTGAGATGTTTTATTAATATAT